AGCAGATTCGCCACGAGAGCCGAGTCAAGATATGCTCCTATCGAAGGTGAGGCCCTCGCAGTTGTGGGTGCCCTTGATAAGGCCAAACACTTTGTCCTCTGCTGTAATGACCTCATTGTTGCAGTGGATCACAAGCCCTTACTCAAGGTCCTCGGAGACCGTTGCCTTGATGCGGTAGCCAACCCCAGACTGAGAAATCTCAAGGAAAAGTCACTACGGTACAGGTTTCGGCTGGTGCATATCCCTGGGATACACCACAAAGCAGCTGATGGAATGTCGCGCGACTCCGTTGGCAAACCAGAAGGATTCTACCTATAGGATGACATCTCAGGGCTAATGAATGGCACGCATGTTCAGCCACCAACAATTGATGAGCAACACGAAATCACTTCTATGTCAGCTGTTTTGGAGAACAACAGGAACGTCATATGGGACGACATTCGCATTGAAACCGCCAGGGACGAGCTGATGTGCACACTACTATCCATGCTCGAGGACGGCCTGCCAGGTACACAGAGGAAAATGCCGCCGGAATTGCAAGCTTACTTTACGCTGAAGGACGAACTATACTCGCTTGACGGCGTAGTCCTATACAAAGATCGCGTAATTGTCACTCTATCGCTAGGCAGGAAGGTGCTGGATTCTCTCCACTCGGCACACCAAGGCACATCCTCCATGATGGCCAGAGCTGGTGCCTCTATCTTCTGGCCAGGGATAACCTCAAACATCCACAACCTACGAGACAAGTGTTCTCAGTGTAGTCGCTACGCACCATCCCAGCCGCAAGCCCCCCCCCCCCCCCCCCCCCGATCGCCACAAGTGTTCCTGTATACCCATTCCAAATGGTCTGTGCAGACTATTTCCACCACCGGGGACAATCCTACTGGGTGATTGTGGACCGCTAACAGCCTACCAGAGAACTTTCATTACATTTGGCATTAGTGAAGATATCACTACCGATGGGGGCCCAGAATTCAGAGCCACTCAGACAGAAAGATTCTATTGTTACTTGAACATAAAACAATGTTTAACACTAACCTTTTGTTTGACTGTGTTTACAACAGGGGTTAGCCAAACCTGTTTCTCTCCGGATGGTGATCCTTTCCTCGGCAATTGGGGCCCCAATGCGTTGGAATCTCACACGCAACACAGAAATAAACTGAGGCTCCAACTAGCCTTTTCTCCACCCAAACTCTCAGCAGGCCTCCTCTGCCTTGCTACAGATCTCCCCTCTAAAGTCTAACCTGTAGTAATCCAGACTGCTTTTATACACTTGCACCAAGCAATACAACTGAACTGAGACTCACACTTTCGCCAAAAAATACAATAGGCTAGGCCTAACCCCCTGCCACTGATCAACACGCCAGATTGCAAATAAAACAACCAAATAGACCACAGATTCTTTAGGGACTAAGGCATCCAACATCAAGTGTCATCTGTTGCCTACCCGCATGCCAACTGTAGAGCAGAGGTGGCAATGAAGACAGTCAAGAGACTGTCAACACCAGCCCAGGGGGCACCCTAGACACTAATGCCTTTCAGAGAGCGATGCTTCGATATAGAAATACACCTGACAAGGAGACCGGCATATCGCCCGCCCAATGCATCCTTGGAAGGCCTATCGGGTACTTCATCCCCATTCTCCCAAGCCGATATGAACCTGATCCCACGTGGAGGGAGACTCTCCTAGCACGAGAGGAAGCGCTGAGGGGGGGACACATGAAGATGTCAGAGAGATTGACAGAACACACCAGGCTCCTGCAGCCCTTGAAAGTTGATGACAGGGTCAGAATCCAGAACCAGACAGGACCCCACATGACAAAGTGGGACAAGACAGACATCATAGTGGAGGTCCGCCAACATGATCAGTATATTGTAAAGGTGGATTGCTCAGGAAGGGTCACTCTCCGAAATCACAAGTTTCTCAGGAAATACATGCCTGCAATACCAGACGCCACTGCGCCTTCACAATCACACTTTGACTTACGGAGCAGGATTGGACCGCGTCCATGCCAGTACCCACCTTCAAGCATTGACCAGGAGCAAATTGCACCAGCAAAACAGACTCTCGTCAACATCCAAGACCCTGTGCCAGATACACCATCCTCTCTCCAAAGCACTCCCACCAATCAGGAGCCACATACACTACCACCTGTGCCAAGCACTCCAGCAAATCAGGAGTCAGAACCCTTACCTGACACCCCAACTGTCAGCCATACTCAACCCCTGGCAACAACCACTCCCCAGCAACAACGAACAACGCCACCTCCCATGCCCCAAGGAGATCCCAAAATCCCCATAGCTCTTAGACGCCTCCTGCCCCATAACAACCCTGGGTTTAAGGACACAGAAGTCATTGGGCAGGGTGACAGGTCTTTACGTAGCAGGTGTAGAACTGATTAAGTTGCTGAAACTTTTTTTTCATGTTGTCATATGACATAAGGCCCTACATCTTTTTGTATCACAGCACAAATGATGACTCATCATGCATGTTATGTAATCAGTCTTTGTTTATATAACCCGTCCAAAGACTTGAGGGGGCATAGTGGAGTATATTATGTGTCAGTATTGTCTAACGTATTGTTATGTCACTATCTCTCAGAAACAAACGAGTGTCATCATACTTCATTACACACCATAAACACACACACACACACACAAACACTCACTCACTCAAACACACACACACACACACACACACACACACACACACACACACACACACACACTCACTCACTCAAACACACACACGCGCGCGCGCGCGCGCGCGTGCCACTCCATTCGCAAATACCCAACAAATCTTAAGAACATAAACTGTTCAAAGAAATAGAGTTCATAAGTTTATTTTCCCGAGCGTTCTGAGAAATAGAGCCGGCCTTATTATTATTGTATTTATTTAGCCAACAATAAATCATTATAAATACAGAATAAGTTAAGTAATATCAGAATATAAATATATTACAAGTGTGACCAAGACAATGTGAATGTTCATATCAATAATAGGCCTGAGGCATAATAATAATGATTCAGTTCAGTCAGTACATTCTGAAAAGAGTAGTAGTAGTAGTAGTATGAAGTACGGCTGTGGTCAGGCTAGTCGCCTATCAGCCGTTCGTTGCTTTCGTTGCTTATTCCTTCCTGCACGTTGTTTTCACACTCTGGTATCCGTAGGTTAGTGCTCATGGGACATGGATCTGGCAGTTTGAAACCAATCTAGGTTCATAGAGAATTTATGTTCTTTCCAGACCATGTCACTTCTATTCTTGAAAGCATTCAAGGATGGTGCAGACACCACATTTTCTGGTAGGGAATTCCAAGCGTTACCTGTGCGTACGCTGAAGAAGTTTTGGCGGACTGCTGTTTTCACATGGTTTTTTTTCAATTTTAGACTGCGTCCCCTGGTGTTAGAGTGAAGATTGCGGGGTAAAATATCTCCCATTACGTTGTAAATTCCTGTTAAATACTTGTAACATTCAATCATGTCGCCTCTAGCTCTCCGATAGTACAGCGATGGCAGATCCAATTTTCTGAGACGATCGCAGTAAGCAAGGTGCTGTAGTTCAGGAATTAGTTTGGTGGCCCGACGTTGCACTTTTTCAAGTTGTTCTTCATCACCTTTAAGTCTGAGATGCCAGACCACATTTCCATACTCTAGATGAGGACGAATGATTGATTTGTACAGAGTAGAAAGGGACACTTTGTCCAGCATTGTGAAACCTCACCGGATCAGTGCGAGAAGATTGTTAGCTTTGTTGACCTGGATACTGACGTGTTTGCTGAATTTTAGATCACTATCAATATTCACACCTAGGTCTTTTTCTAGTGACACAGATTCTAGAGTGATGCGTTCACCTTGGATGTCATCTTGTACTCGCATGGGTTTCTATTTTTCCCAATGTGCATAACCTTGCATTTTTCTGCATTAAACCTCAATTGCCACGCATCAGACCAGAGCTGGAGTCTGTTCAAGTCATCCTGGAGGTTGTCCGAAAAGTCGGGTACTTCAGCAAAAATCTTCGTATCATCCGCGAACAGAAAAGAAGCAGAGAGGATATTTTCAGGGAGGTCATTGACGAAGCATACAAATAGAAACGGACCTAGCACACTTTCCTGAGGGATTCCCGACTGCACATGCTCCCAGGATGACTCCTCTCCATTTACAACCACACACTGAGTAAAACTAATATCTATATCGCAACTATGAGCCTGAGCACTAGGGTTCAGTAATTTGGTGCAGATCTAAATCTAGATAACTGATGTCATTATTTAAAACTACTAAGACCTAATCTAGCTAGGCTGCACTGATACTTGATGTTATTAATTTCTGATGAACCCCAGCGCAGGTCTCATGCTGCCTGCACTAAACTCGGTCAACTATTCTGTACTAATCTAGGACTAGAATCTAGATCTAGAATCAGCGATTTTGCAGTTTCGTTCGTAAAAGTCCAAAGCTGAACATCAGAGACTCTGAATTGCCAAGTTATAATCGTTGACGAGTGAACTAAGGCTAAGTCTAAGCGTAAGACTGGAAGGAAACACTAAAGCCAGAAAATAAAAATTCAAGCAAAGAATAGCGCTTTATAGGCAGTTCCCCTCTCTCCAATTATCATTTGCCGGTATGGGCCCAATGAGTCAAGAATGGGAGGGCAAGCCCCTGACCTAATCAAAATATGGAGGGGGGGGGGGCGTCATGCCCCCCTGAACTTTACCATAATTCGATGTTTGGCAGAGGTTCATGCATCCCTGTTCTTTGTGCTGCCTATTTGGTTATCAAGACTTCCAGATTTTTTCTCTGGGTGTAAACAAATGGAATGTGGACTTTAACGAACGGAACAACAAGAAGATCATCCAAGACCAAGAATCTGTGTGTGACGAAGGGATTAAATCGTTACCAAAGTTTATGATGAAGATACCGCCTAGAACAACAACTCTGGTTTGATTGCTACTGGTCACATTACAAAAAATATTGACTTACAGTGTGATCTAATAACTCATGTTACCTTTAGTATGGTTGTTTTGTTTTTTTCTTCAACTCTTGAATCAGTTATCTAGCAACCTGGCGTCCATTTGTAAACATTGTACTCTTTTAATGCAAAAGTTCGAAAAAAAAGACTTCTTCTTTTGTACTAAAACACGAAAAGACAAAATTTCTTCATTTAATATTCATGATCACGTCATTACTCCAGTTTGCCGGAACGGCCTTTATTATTTGTCTGCGCTTTCGGGGCAAGCTGAGCGTTCAGTCAAACCTTATTAAATTTGTAAAAGCTCTTTTGATGATATTAGTAAAGATACAGAAGTAAAAACAATAGCATAGGTGTGTGACTCTTCAATTTTTTCCTGCACAACGAAAATATGCTCCCTTGTAATGTGTCGGAAGATAAATCAAATAAATGCGACAATGAAGGTCTTGAGCTTGATAAAGCCACGGAGAAGCAAAGACTACGGAGTCAATAGTCTCATTTTAAAAAAGCTGAAGACAGGCACCAGCAAAAACTATTTTTTTAACATACCATAATTGTTAAAAAATAAATATGATATAACATACTCCTCCTTACATAAGAAGGTTTTCTGTTATAGGCATGCACTTATCGTCAAGCCTAATGTCTAGGCTACACATAATAGCACTCAGTGTGGTGCCCTGCACTGACATTTATCTCATAATTACACACTGTAATAAGTTTTTGTAAATATCTCTTTACCAAACGCACGCAATGAAGCTACAAAAGGGAGAAAGGCTATTTTTTAAAAACCCTTTGAAAAGCAAGTTTATTTCACGGTGAGTAATAAATTGTTATTCAACAAAAATCTGGCCATCCTACACTTCTTTGCTGGTGTGTTCAGTGTTCCGTGTTATTGATCTTTCTTTTTATGGGTTGAGTGTGTTGTCCTTGTTTGGAATAGTCGTTCGGTGGTTGGCTGAGTTGCGATCTGAGGGATTGGTCGACGACTGAACCTAGATTCAGAAAAAGTGAGGTATTTGTAAGTGTCAGTTGACTACATTTTTCTAGTACTATCATTATGATACTTCCTTACTAGATCTAGAGCTAGAATGTAGGCTCCTCAATGCCCTTCGCCTCGTCTGCCTGCCATTATTTATTTTTCATTCATTGTGGTGCGATGCTATTATTAGACTAGATTTCTATTACACAGTAATTACACTGACTCGGTGACTTAATCTTGTTTTCTCAGTGTTCAGTCATATTTTTTGTTTTGGCTTAAAGGCCCAAAAGCAGGCTTGGAAGATTAGCTTGTGGAACAAGTTGGCATTATCATAATGTGACAGCAGACACAAGATAATGTCAACAACAGATGTGTCGTACGTGACAAGTAGCCTAGTTCAAATGCCGACTGAGCGAGTGCGGCCTTGAACTTGAACTTGAAATACTTTTCTCGGCTAGCCTAGGCCTAGTTCAGCACGAGGACCTGGGCTGACTTGGCGAGGGGAAGGGCCAGTCACAGTGCTGTTTAGAGTATCTCCAGCCCTCACTGGCCAGTCTTCATTATCAAGTCACTATCACAAGCCAAGGCAACCGCAGTGTGGCTGTTGGGATTGATGATAGATCTAGTTTCACAAAGCTACTATAGAAACTCATCAGCCGCTAAGGGCTAAGGCTGAGACTTTGAAACATCGCTCGCTGTGTAAGTAGGCTACTAGATCTAGATCTAGATCTAGATATGATATATAGAATCTAGTCTAGAAATCTAGATCTAGAATCTAGATCTAGTCTAGATCTAGATCTAGATATTCTAGATCTAGATTAGATCTACTGTAAGTTCCTGCATGGAGTGTTTAAATTACTAGATTTTCTAGATCTAAATCTAGATCAGAATCACTAAACTAATGTGGATCTAGAATCTAGATCTAGATCTAGAGATCCCTGGGCTGGAGGCTGCTGATGTTATTAATTTATAAATAAGGCCAGCTCTATTCTCACCCCGGGTGAGAATAGTGCAGGCGAATCTTTTGGCTATTCTCACCCGGTGCGCGTTCACCGTTATAGCCTAGATCTAGGCCAACCAATTTTGCGTTCACCCTGAACCACAGAATTCTACACTGTAACAGAAAAATTGTAGGGTAAATTTTTACTTTCACTCCCGCACACAGATGCACTGTTTCAGGGGTCAAACTGCTGTACTGTTTGCTGCAGATCACACATAAAGCCACTAAAACTGTTGCAAAGCAATTATTTTCAAGACAATTTCAAATCTAACTGTGAAATATCAAACTATGGGTAAAAGCAGGGGGGCATGCCCCCCTGTAACCCCTCAGATTTTCTTTTACCCCAGTGGGGCAGGCCCTCCTGGAACCCCCCCGATTGGTCCAAAGCATGTCTATCTCGGTTAAAAACAATTAAATATTTCAAAAACTATTAATTTGCGACGGAAATGAAGTTGATATTCGTGTTCAGCGCATCAATATTTAGTACAAAATAGACAATTGGTAGCTGAGTGTGAGACGGGAGGGAAAGTAAAAAAATACCAATTGTAGAATTGTGTGCCGTGAACAAACGTTCCATTACTACTGTTGGCCTACTAAAAGGGAACAATTTTGTCTGAGGGCAGTGGAGAGAGAGAGAAGTAGCACAAGAACTTCCGGGCAAAACAAAATGGCGACCCGCGTAGTTCTGCTCGATTCGAAAAGTTAAATAGCCGTAGCATCTTTGTAGACGACCAAATTAATTTACTTTTGTTTTAACATCATTTTTTAACTTTGTTTTAGTCAATTTGATCGTCCACACCGATAAACAGTATTCAGAAAGAGAGAGAGAAGAGGAGAGGAACTGAGTAGATCTTGCGAGAACTTCCGGGCAAAACAAAATGGCGACCCCCGTAGTGCGGCTCGATTCGAAAAGTGAAATAGCCATAGCATCTTTGTAGTCAATAAAATTAGCTTACTTTTGTGCTATAACGTAATCTTTTCTTTGCCTTTAACTTTATCCATTTGATCATCCACATCGATAGAAAGTATTCCAAAATTCTAAAGGAAAAACAGGTCTTGTTTCACACTGGGTGAGAATAGCCTACGGTGCCAAGTCTCACCCGAGGTGAGAGGTCGATCGTATTTCTGTTCTCACCCTGGGTGAGAATAGCCACTTCCTATAAATTATGATAAATTAGACATTAGTACTTTCACTCCCGCACACAGATCCACTGGTCCAGGGGTCAAACTGTTTTGGGTTGGGGGTTTTTTATGGGAAGCGCCATTTGCAACGCCGCGTTCTGAATAGCTCCCGTGCTATTTGAAACACCTGTACTAGATTCGAACCCGGGACCTTTGAATGAGAGGCCAACATCTTAACCTCTAGGCCACGAGAGGCCACGGGTCAAACTGTGCAGTACTGTTTGCTGCAGATCACAATTAGATTATAAAGCGACTGAAACTGCCGCAAGTCAATTATTTTCAATGAAATTTCAAATCTAACTAAAATATCAAATTATGTGTTAAAACAGGGGGGCATTCCCACCTGTAACCCCCAAGATTTTCTTTTACCACAGGGGGCACCCCTATTGGTCCAAAGCCAAAGCACGTCTATCTCAATTAAGAACAATCAAGTATTTCAAAAACTATTAATTTGCGACGGAAATGAAGTTGATATTCTCGTGTTCAGCACATCAATGTTTAGAAGAAAAGGGACAACTGGTAGAGAGCTAAGTGTGAGACAGGAGAGACCGAAGTAAAAAATTACCTAAATTATAGTATGTTATATATAGTCAAACCTGTGTAAGCAAGGAGAAAAGTGGCCGTATAAGACAGATGGCCGTCTTAGGGAGGACTGATCAAGATGAAGAAAACAAACCATTCTCATCTGAGGTCCCAATCGAAAGTAGTAGGTACCAGAAACTAAATTTTCAAAGTAGTTGTATACCAAATTTATCAGTTTCATTTGAAAGGCCTATATCCACTAAGCATTTTGGTACCATTCTTTAACCTCTCAGTCAATTTTTAAGAAAATGGTAGTTGTTTAAAATTTGATCAAATTTGTTAAAGTCAGTCACTGGCTGCAACCCCATGTTTGACAGACAATAAAAGAGTACCAAGAGCACTAAACATCTCCACATTAACAGAGTACAATCACTATAACAAATATATGGAGCCTAATTTTTTTCAAGACTGTGAGATCATAACAAATCAGCACTTTATCGCCTCAAACACGGTGATCTGTCGTTATTTCGACAAAAACACCGAGTGTTGACCCCGCCGGGGCTGCACCGGGCCCCGCGGCGAGCGAGTCGGCTCTATACAGTAGTGTACCCCACGTGCGGGGTCACATGCTTTCTGAGTCTCGCGGAAGGATTGATGAAAAATAATTCCAAGCTGATTACTTTATTCTAATAGAAAATAAGCTGATCTTTTATTAGATATATTTTTTAAGCCGGTATTTTACATATTATGGGTAAAAAGTGATCTTTAAACATTTTAACAGTATTTTTAAAAGCTTTCTATTTAGACGCCAAAGGCAAAACACATACCAGGGGAAAGCCCGTTTAAAGCTCTACAGTTCTCCGCCAATGAAAAGACCGTATTTAATCATTCCTTGTTCCGCGAAGCATTTGAATGCACCCGTGTCAATTTTTCAACCGGCCGACCACGCATTCCGACCGTGAGGGGCTTCGCTTTCGTCTGCGATTCTCCAGCTCCTAATAATCGGACATATAAACAACTTACACCATTGTAACGAGGAAAGGCTGAACTTTTACAAGGTGTACGGCACTTGGTGTTTTATAGTGAAAGAGCAAAGAAACAGCGATCGGAATTATCCCGATTTCACCGATACCACGCGGTCGGAAGGCCGCGAGTGCCCGCGAGGCCGTGTTTACGCTACCTAAAAGTAGCCACATTGTTGTTGTTGTTGTTGGTTTGTATTTCGTTTGTAATTTTTATTTTGTTGCTGATTTTGCACAAGGGTGACAATAAAACGAAATGTATCAGACAAGGAGTGCCATGTTAAAACAAACACACGGGTCGCCACCACTCGGAGAACGAGCGACGCTTCTATCACAAGTTCATGTTGACGCCCTTTGTTACTTTGTTACAGACTGGGTAAATAGTGACCACTTATCTCACTTACGATGTGTGTATGAGTTATGGGCGGGGCTTATGGGTTATGAGGGATCACTCGCTAACCTCACCAGCAGCTGAAAATTGGTAGCTATTGGTCAACAGTGGGAGGGGCCTACGCAACATGATCGGTTGGAGGGACTACCTAACAACAACGACAGGTGATTGAATTATGACAGCTCGCCCACAACGCCAGGGGCCAGTGCACAATTTATAACAAAACGTAATGGAGTCTCTAAGGTGGCAGTCTAAGACAGGTGTTATTGCTTAGTATGATAGGGGTTGTGTGTTAAATTATGGTGGCCGTGACCGCGTTGGACAGGTGCCCGTTTTACACAGTTAAATTATATAGTAAAAACGCAAGAGGGGAAATGAAAATTGGCCGTTTGTACAGGTGGCCGTCAGGGCAGGTTCGACTGTATATTTTAGATATATCTAGTATAGATTCATTTCTTTTTTTTTTTTCCTTTTAGATTGTAAAAGAAGATCTAGATCTAGATACTTTACTAAAAGCTATACTATTGTACATTCACAGTTAAACTCATTCGCTACGTATTATTTTCAGCTTGTGGGCGAATTTTTTTTCGGGAGAGCGAATGAGATGATGACTAGTGGGCAGTTAAAAGGTCTTTGGGGCCACAAATTCAAATAGATATCAACGTATTATATACCAATATTTATTATTTTCAGTATGGTTTGTAGAATACATCTGTAATGTTTATTTATGTATTTTTCAACTTTGGTTCCTGTCAGCACACAATTTTGATTTGATGCGGATAAAATTTGAAAATAAAAAATTAATTATCTTTGGTGAAACTAAAAAAATACGTTTGCACAAAGTCAAATTATACATCAAAATAACCATAAATGAATATAGAACTGGAAAATATGGCTAAATTTGCAGTTATTTACCTACATTCCATAATATTTGTACATTTTGAACATAACATCCGATATTGAAAAAAAATAAAAATTTTCATAATCTTGAAAAATGATCACAAACAGAAAAACCCACTCATAAATATGGAATTATTCAGAATTGCATTTGGAATAAATCTATACATGTCTTGAGTGGCACTTTTTGTGTAATTTCATCAAAAAGTAGTGATTTTGGGGAGAAAAAAATATTTTGACAATTTAGATTTAGACCTAGATCTAGCACTCAAAAATATTGATTTCTCAATAACAGTGCATTGGCAATATGAGTCCAATCGTATCAATACTATAAAATAGAGTCCTACATTTCTTTTGTTGGCAAAATAATGATAGATTTTGTTGTGTAAAATTACTAAGACTGGTGTCCGGGCTATAATTTTGGCATCGCGATAAAACAAAGTCTAATAAACTACGAAATCGCGTTTCAAAACTGAATCTTAATTTCCGATTTTCAGTGGAAATGCTTGACCCGGAAGTCAACATTATATTATGACCTTTATTTTATCATGGATATGTGGATTGGAATAGAATCTAAGCTAAAATTGAAGATCGGTTCTCGAGCCGCCGGGGCTTAGCGTACTGACGGCACTTTAGCCGCCCCGCCTCCCACAGCTCGACGTAGTGGAGCATAGAGTGTAGTTAAGTTGTCTTCAGACTTTTTTATAGCCTAATTTAATAGCAATGCCAATGAAAATTTAAATTTTCACTTTTGCCCCCTTTTTTTTGGTACATAAGAAAGAATTTTCAATTCTGATAATTATGCTTCTTGAATTTTGAGAAACGGTTCATAAATAAAAAAGTTATGGGGTTGTAAAGGTCGGCAAAATATGGATGACCCACATATAGGAAAATACTTCTAAAAAGTAGACCTTGCAGTAGCAGATTCTGTAAGAAAATCGACGATATCTCGGTAACTAATCCAAATGTTCGAGAGAAACTCGGCTACCCGATGTGTTTTTGAGTGTAGAAATCATTTCTGCAGTCAGATTTATTACCAATTTCGTAGTTATTTTGTTATAATTAAAATTGTGGTGTACATATTAAGATTTTGCGAAAAAGGGGTGTCGGGATGAGTCCATTTTATTTATAGCATCGTATCACAACATGGGATCTTTAAGAATATATGTCGGCAGCGTGACTAAATAATTGCAAAGCTTTTTATGATGACTTTAGACCATGCCAACCGTAAAAGATAAGTTAATTCAATCTAGCATGCCGTACAATTAAAAATTATTTTTTCCCGTTGAGACGCGAACACCCCGAGACGAGATAACCTCGCCTCGGAATACCCCCATTGCGATGTTACAGGGGAATAGAGAGAAAAACAACCGGATGCGCGCGCCCGCCATTGCCCTATTTCAAGTGACCAATGAACGGGCCCGGAATAGTCATGCGGGGATTTGTAGGTCACAGACATTTGCCACGGGAGTGAGGGGAAAATGGCCGGTCTCCATGCGAAGCCGCTTTGGATAGGGGGGTAGTCGTAGATTTACGATCGGGTCTAAACAACTACTTGACACAGAACTCTCAAATTTGAGCACACTATAGAGGATAGATAGATCTATTACCATCTGGGCGTTGAAATTCAAACTCCTTATAGTTTTCGGTGTACACGATACGAAAGTGTTCCCGACACCAAAAGTATAGGTTAATTTTTATGTGTACGAACTTCAACGTCCACATATCATTAGTTTGCCCTATTTTCTGATTGGTAGCCGAGTTTCATTCGGATTGGTTCGGAAATAGAGCAGACCGAGGTTGACAAAGTTAGTCACCTACGCTTCGGCCGGGTCCGCAAAATCGCCCGTAAATGGGGACCAAATTTTCGCCTCGCGGGAAAGCCCGATTGGCATTGCTAAATTTAACTTATGTTATAGATATCTATATCTAGATCTATAAATATCTTTATCTTTGTATATCCTCTCAAACAACCGAGGCGAATTCGTGCTAGCCATGTTATACTACCATAACAATCATTCCTCAACAAAAGGCCTATTCCTCTGATTATTCGTGTTTTTTTGTGTTTTTTTAGTTATTTTATCTGTTCTGAACTTTTCATAAGACTATTTAAGATAAGATAAGCCCTTTGTGATTGTTGAGATCTCTACATATATATTGATCACCCATTGGAGGAAATTGACAGTGTGGCGTACCTTCATTGAGAAGTAGATATATTCAACGTTTGTGTGTCAGTATTGGAAGCTAGTTTAGTGTTCTAGGTAGGCTTGCATCCCACAATTCTTTTTTCTGTGTATTTGATGTTTGAGTTGGCTCTTGTAGTTTTCCTCTTAAGGTTGCTTGAGGGCTCTTTGATAGTGAAAGCGTTCAGTGCCTAAACTGTTTCTTTGTTAATTCTTTTATCAATCAGTCTGTGTTTGGCTTTACTCAAAATATGTGATGGAATTTCATATTATTTTGGTCTTTTTTTAGGTTTTGCAGAGGTTATGGTATTCATACCATGATTCAAACTTTATTGCTTTGTCCATGATATAATGATATTGAGGGTTGCGTTGGTTATATTATTCTTTAATGAGAATTTCTGAAGTGTCATATAGGCATGCTTGGGCTTGATTACTCAGAAATCTGCCGAGTTAAACAGTAAACAACTAATGAAAGGATTGGTTTCATTCATGTTTGAAGTCTGGCATAGCTTTTTCTTTTCTTCTACCAGGTAGCTGCTGTTTACATCCACTTTTGATTTCCCTCAAACAACATGTCCTTAGAAGCAGCAAGAGACAGGATCTGCCAGCTGGAAGATGCTGTGAAGCGCCTCGACTCTGTCAGGAAACACTTGACAAGAAATTCGTCAGAGGTGAAAGAAACTTTTTAAATGGCTTTTATTTTTCCCATCTAATATTGTCAGAATTTTTAATTGGGACCTTATTCACAACCCAACAATGAAACTTAGCTTTCATAAAGGCAATAAAACATACTGCATGCCGCAAAAGAAAAAAATAGGCCTATCTTGAGTGGTTATTTTTTTTGTGATCTTTTGCAAATGTATGTCAAAATTTTGAGGGGGGGAAACTTTTCAGAAAATGAAACTTACTAGATCTAATCGGTAAGTTCACTGTCACTATCAGCCTTCCACTAGCTTTATCAAACTCCGAACCCTAACTTGGGTCAGCATCACTGTCATCTTCTTCTGCACAACAAAAGTCCAGGTCGGAGCCAGCCCATTGACATATATGGGTCCATCAGTTCAAAAATGTTGTGAGATTTGTTCGCCATCATGCAAAAATGCATTTTGGCTGAAGTCAAAATCAAAGTTTTATTCAGTCATGAGTGGATGTTACTCAGACAATGCGCAATTGACTCATAAAAGACAGCAGTTACATACCTGCAAAGACCAGCCCTCAGGCACTTCTGGTGGTAATAGTTAAAAAATAAATAAGAAACTCGAAACTGAGAGGTTGCAGGAGTGGCAGTACCCTATTGATTTTTCCAGAGACACCTTGGGTACTGCAGTGAGTGAGTTAATAAGGTTGGGGGGGGGGGGGGGGTTGGAAATTATAGTCATTTGCAAAATTTGATCATTACTGTATTACAAGTTGCTTGCCATTATTTCCTTTTCTGTTCTTTTTTTACCATGCTGGCTACCTGTTCTTCCTTCTTGAATGTTGTCAGTCATTATCTTTTTATGATGGACAAATTATTATTAACATTATGACCTACAGTCAGAAAGGTTACATTGAGATTATGGTGGAAGTAGAAAGGGCTTTTGATTCTGTAGACATCATTATGTCAATGTTTCTCTCTTCTTCAACATTTCAAAGTCAAACTTGGGGTTCAGATTGCTAGCTACCCATGTCATGACATTCATCTATTTTCTTTTACAACATAAAGGTTTGTGGAGAAATCCGAAGCAGCATCAGCCGCAGCATTGAGTGCCTTCGCAACCGTGAGCTTTCTCTTCTGGGCGAAGTTGACCAAGTGCAGGTGATGAAGGAGGATGCACTGCAGCTCCAGCAGGGCCGACTTAACCAGGCCATCAACATTCTCCGTACAGCCATCACGCTGGTACAGGACGATTCTGCCTCAGAGAAACACTTATCAGACACTTTAGAGAGGTGAGAGCTGTTCATGGAGTTGTGATCCAGCTTGTGAGTCAGTGCATGAGTGAGCAAAATTCCTGTTTTTATCAGATCCCTTTTTTTTGCCTGTTGCTGGGATTCTATAATTTGTATCCAGCATGAAAATTTCTCTGTGGGCTTTAGAAAAACTGCTGCATGCTCCCAAAACTGACAACACCTGAAAAAAATAATTGCCCTATAAAAATAGCAAAGTGGTCAGTCAACCCAAATGCTGTTATTTTGTTAAAGTTCTGTCCCCAGTCAGAACACTTGGATAAGTTGTTCATATTTTTTAAAATACCATACAAAATTAGCAATTTTATCAAAGTATGAGCATTTACCAGCCGCCATAGATCAGGAAAAAACGGGTGAATTTCTAGTGGAAATTGTTTTTCCCAATTTTACTAAAACTAACCGTGGAAAAAGATACCCTTTTTTCCATATTTACTGTTGTATACTGGGTCACATGAGAACGCAAATTACATTAAGAAAATGATGTCATGACAATGTCCTTGTTGTTTGGATTAAGAGCAAAGAGTTTGACCAAGAATATACACGCTTCAACATAAGTTAAAGGTCACCTTGACAGACAGCCCTGATTTTTTTTAATCCGAAAAAAAAAAGACGGCAAGGAATGTTTCAAAATATTTTGCTCTGAAAGTGTTCATGGGTTACCAATGCGTACTGCAAAGCTTCCTAAAGGGGCAAAACCACCATGTGCTGCACAGAAATCCTTGCAGAATTATAGCGAAATTTGCTGCTTTTTATCGACTTGTGTGCGACACCACGGACATTTCTCAGTTAAAATTTCAGGTGCTCGTCATAAACGGACGTACGGTCTCGAACTGTGCTCACTTTGGTTGCAATATAAGCCGCCGTTTGCGCTAAATCCAGTATCACATTAACATGCCACCAAGACGAAAGCTGAGATACTTTGATCATGCCAGAGCTACGCTATGGCTGCAGGATGGAGTTGGAGCCTGAGAAGTTGCCAAAAGGCTTGCAGTGTCACACTCTGTCATTGTCTGCTTGAGGCAGCGCCATCAAGCCACTGTATCAGTCCAAGAACACCCGCATGCAGGTCGACCCAAGACCACTCAGAGCGTTTGCAAGTGGTCCTTAACTTATGTTGAAGTCTGTAGTTGTATTTATGAAAGTTATACCTCTTTGAAAAATTTGCTTTGAAAGCTTTCATCATGTCAAATTTACATAATCAAAATTTACCACCCATTGTCAATTAGAAAAATGGATGTCCTAGACAGGTGGATGTTGTGCAGGTTTGACTCTACTTCAAAGTTTTTATGGTTATTAAGTTCCTACTGCATTTCTGTAGGCACTGCCATTCATTTTTGCCTAGATGTTGTGTTTGGGTAGGGGTTTTTTTTACTTACTTTTGTGATTTCTCCTCAAAGGTTGAACCAGCTGGACCTGTCCCCCGAGGAAACACCGTACATCGCCTTCCGTGCAGATCAGCTGCAGCTACGAGAAAGCCTAATGAATTTTGGCAGAGTGGATGCTAATGGCTTGCCTCTTGCCATGGCATTTGAGAACCCTGTCAAACCCTCAGCGAGCTTGCCACGTCATCTTGAGGAATATGAGGATGTGGAGCATCATGTTTTCAACAAGACACTTCATGAGATAAACAAAGAATCAGCCTCTTCCACAAGTGTATGTTTATTACTGTATGCCATTCTCGGTTCAGTTGTTACAATGAAAACCATTGCTGCGCCTAGATACTAAATGATGTACATGGAATGTATGAAGGGTTAATTTTACTTTTGACTCAAGATATGAAATGAAATGTTAGAGTGTTGAAATATATCTAGGCTCTTTTGAAGGAAATGTGTAGCACAAATATTTTGTGAGCTTAGGCACAAAAAAGGCTGTGCTCCCCACTCGAAGGATTATTTTTTTTTATGTGTGAGTTTTTGGGGGTTTTTTTAAACTTATCTATCTGTAGTAAACATGTACCCTCTCTCTGAACAGAACTCTGTTGTAGTTGTTTTGTCAAGTGATGGTCATGCCTTTTCATCTAAGCTTGTCTCCGTCTTTTCAGATACGAGTGTGTATCCCTAAGCTATCTCAGCGTTTGGAGGACTGGCTGCAACAAAAACCACCAGTGTCTGGGTCAAGGTTAGAGGAAGACGCTAAGTCAAGGATGCACCAGGAAGTCCTTCCAGGAGCCAGGGCGTTAGTGTCGAGACCGTCAACTCTGTCGGGATCTCGTCCAGCCTCAAGTGGTGCCCTGTCACAGATGGCGGACCTGTCATCATGTGACAGTCCGAGGGGCCCACGCTCCCAGGTGCCCAGCCCTGGCAGCTCTTGCAGTCTCAACAACTGGCTCAGCCTAATCAAAAACCATGCAGACTTAGAGGAGGAGCATGACTTTGAGATTGTAGACAATTCCCGCAGCAAGGGGAACAGGGGTAAGTTGGTGGGAGTGAAATGGATAGGTCCCACTGCATAGAAATGTTTTTTTATTTATTTTTTTTTTCTTTGTTCTTTTGGTAGACAAATGAATAAGTGCTGAGTTAGATGTTTTATTATTGGGAAAGATATTTGATTGATAGGAACAAATTATGAGGATTAATGGGGTGTATGCCTGACAGTTTGCAATCATGTGTTTTTCCCTATTAGGCTGAGGTAGGGGGAGGAGGGAGATGGAACGGATTGTGCTCATCAGTCAAGAGTTTTTTAAATGTGATTTGAGGAAGAGGAATTGCGGTGTTTATAAAACACCTTTGCCATGTATCATAATTTTGATGTCAACGCGTTTCTCTCCAACTCAAACTAATGAATCTAAGACTTCACCTTCTGTCAAACTTGACGTCCAGCATTAAATCCCTTTTTGTCCCCAGTAGGTCAGTCTGTGTGCCCGGAGCTGCAGAAGTGGCTGAGTCCAAGTAGCGCGCCTTGCGGTCCAGCCTCCACAGACTTCTTTAAGCATATCACCAAAGACTCACGGGTGAGTGTTTACCTGTGTTCCTTTCTTCTTAGAGCACACTGTTTTATTACAGTGGTAGAGATGAAAATGGGGGCTGTCGTGGCCTATAGGTTACGGTGTTTGCCTCTCATTCAAAGGACCCAGGTTCGAATCCGGGTAGCGAAAGGAAAGTATTCCTCTCTAAAATTGTCTCTTTCACCTCCTTTCCTTTTCTCTAGCCATGTTCTATCGTCTGCTTTTGTCTCCACTTTCTGCCTCCACCCCTTCTCTGGGCTGCTGACTCTTTATGCAGCCTTTCTAGTGCTTCTCCTTGGCTCCTTCTTACTGCTGTCTTTCAGCCACACTCCTGATCTTATGGTAGGTAAGATCTACACCTAGCCTTTTCGGACAAGGGCGAAAAATCTCAGAGGTCCAGTATGCAAGTTGCGCAAGTTAAAATCCCTTGGTGGTCCAAAATCGATAAGAGTAGGCTTCGGCCGCCACCAGGGCAATATTAAAAATTTCTTACCAACTGAAAAATGTTTGGTGTGTCCCGCATGCTTATATGACCTTACGCAGTTGCGGGCGCTGGAAAACACTTACCCAAAAAAAAAAGAGAGATGAGAATTTGAATCCTTGTAAGAGTGAACACCCAAAGTGTCGGTGGTCTGCACTTCTCTTGGCATGGATGGGGTTTTCTTGCTAAACAAGTACAAGACAAATATGATAGCTGTCCGTAGTGTTGGGGACGATGGAACATTGACAAGCGGACAGAAACAGCAGAGATTTACAGCAACAATTAGCTGGTTAAACTTTTTTCTACTAGTGCTGTGAGATTATGAGGAAACAAAAATTCAATGAAGCTTCAATGCGGGAGCTCACTATTCATGCTATTGGAACACCTCTGCCGAATGTTGATTTTTTTTCTTGTATATGAAAGGCCCAGACCTAACTTCCGCTATTCAACATTCACTAAAGTCTATGAACAGTCTGTCGAACGTTTTTTTTTTTTATAATTGATAACCTATCCGTAACTTCCGCTATTCACATTGCTGTCGAATAGTTCTTATATGATGAGCCCAGATCTAACCTCCACTATTCGAAGCGCCGTCAAATTGTTTTTTATTATATATATGATGTGCCCAGACATAACTTCCGCTATTCATGTCACTATCGAATTGTTTTTTTCTAATATATAATGACCCCAGACCTAACTTCCGCTATTCACATCGCCGTCAAGTGTTTTTGTTGGGTTTTTTTCTTATATACGCTATGCCCAGATCTAACTTCTACTATTCGAAGAGCCATTGAATTGTTTTTTCTTATATATGATAAGCCCAGACCTAACCTATGCTTTTAGGAGCGGCATCAAATTGTTTTTCTTCTATATGATAAGTCCATCACTTTCACAGCACCAGTCACTGAGCGCGCGTGTGTTGTTGTCGGAGGCAGTGCAGTGTGATGACATGACATCACCGTTCATAGCGCTTCGAATTTCAAATAGCCTGGGGGGAGGGGAGCTTATTGTGACAGCTAACTTCATGAGAAAAAAAACATTCGCTGCGCTTCAAGAATCAACTGTCCTTGCCTGAGCTATACATGGTGTGACGATTGAATATTATATGGGATACTCTCTAGAGGAATATTTTATATCTTTTGTTGGCTCCTCTTATCACTCTGTCTAGTAACCATCAAATAAAGAGTATTTTTGTATATTTATTTAAATGATTTTAGATATAATGTGCTCCAATTTTACTACGTTTGAGAAAAATGAGATGAAAATCCATTATCTTTAAAAAAAAAAAAAATTAAAAATCACACAGTATTCAATTTGCTCTGGTACGCTTCAAATAGCTGTGAATAATGCATCTTGAATGTCGAATAGCAAAGTCGAATGGGCACAGCTCTACTTTCTACCCACTTAACTGACAATAGACCTCTAAAGCAACTTGAATTGACATATTGTGTTGTGAGGGATATTGAAACACTTCGGTATCAGTGTCCATGTTGCTGTTAATCTTGGCATGGAAGTGGTATTATGCCTCTGGTGATGTCATTTTAGGAGTTTATTCACTTTGTTCTTTCTTTTTTATGTGGTTGCCATACAAAAAAGTTTTGATAAGGCTTTTGAGAACATGTGGAGTGGCAGAGTATGGGGAAGATAATGGATTTCTTGAGAAATTGAAAGCCCAATAGAAATTTTCTGTGATCTCTTTTTGAACTTCAAAAAGGCCCAATACAGTAGTGTTCTTTATAGTGATAGGTTGTTTCTATCATTTTTATCTCTTTTAGATCATTTTCAACTTTGCAAATATGTTATTTATCTTTGTGGTAAATGTTATATATGCTGCCCCATTTTTAATTGTTGCTTGTTATAATCTTGCTGCAGAAATGGGGCTGTTGTGGTGCTGAATTGATATGTCTACTCAGCTAGCGATGTTTTTGTGCTGACTCATCTTCCACTGAAAGACCTTTATGTGATATTTTAGGATCTCAAGTTGGAAAAACGATCAACTTGTTCCTAACTATTGGCGGGGGGGGGGGGGAGGTTGGGGATACTGCTGGTAGGTTCTGCGTCATTGTTGCCCCTCTGTTTTTGTCTGTGTCTTATATTACTTGTTCCCAGGACTAAAATGTTAGTTTTCATACATAAATGTTTCTTTTTGACTAAGCTCAAACTAATTTTTTGTCCGGACAGGTGTGGCTACTCCAAGTGTGCCAGCAGCAACTGACTAGTCTAGAGGAGATGAAACAAAGGGATACCTTTGAACACATCAGCAAGGAACCTAGCAGCTGGCTGCGTTCTCGAGCTCACAGCAGGCTGGGCTACATCTCGGACATGCCGCAAACACCTTCTGCAGATTTCTTCTCTCATATCTCCAAGGACCTGAGCAAGTGGCTAGCCCCACAGGTTAGTGAAGATCTGTGGTAATGGCTATTGCTGCAGTTGGGTGAAGACAAGTGTTACTGGGTACTAGTTAGCTCAGGGAGTTATCAGGGGTTTGTGCTCATGGCTGACACTGCAGGTTTATCAAGGTCAGTTGTGCTTGAGCTATTTGCCTTTTTGCATTTGTTGAATATGTTGGTTCAGTTTACTCTTTCATTTGTTTATTGTGTTACCGGTAGTTCAGTTGATCCCTCTATTGGAGTGAGCATTTAGAGATGACTACTTGGGATCAAAAAAGAGATTTCAAAGTTATTTTAGGATTTTTCTTCAAAAGATCTCAAAATCAACTTTTAGTTTTTCTCTTTTGAATAAATTTTTTTTAAATTTGTTCCCCAGGGCCCATCTGAATGCACAGAGCCTGTTGTACATGTGTCCAGTGAGAAGATCATGTCCTCCAGTGGTCACTTGTCCCCAGCAGAAGAGAAATGGCTCTTGCATGGTGGTGGTCGTAGGTTGCAGAGTCCAGCTCGAGTGATGTCACAGCCTCTCCTGTCATCACAGTCCAATTTCTACCAGAGCCAACCGTCCCCTATGTCGCCAGCTTCCTCTACAATCTGGCTCCAATCTCCGAACTCCCAAGCTACAGGTGGTAATGCACAAGGAACATCATGTCAGGATCTGTTCCGTCATCTAGCACCCTCTGAAGATGCTTCATGGCTGCTGAAGTCGTCATCTGAACCTTGCCAAGATCAACGTGACTTGATGTGTGCTGGCTCGGGGGCCGGAATGGATGATGGGGGTATATGGCTGCGGAAGAAAGGTGTAAGCCAGTCGAGCAGAGAGGTGAGCCCAGGTGTCCTGACATCTATGTCTGACCTCTCTGACTGGCTGCTGCTACCAACTGGCCTCCGATCACAGGGGTCAGGAAGTGCTGAGGGATCTGACGAATGTGATAAAGAAAGTAGCTCTGATGGGTGGAGTATTTGCTCCACTCCACATGGTGTGTCCACTGAGCAGCATGCCAAAGATGTGGCTGTGGCTGCTGACTACTTCAACAAATGGCTACTGTAAAGGAATGATGACGTGAATTAACTGGGTATTGTCTGAAGTAACTTCTAATTTTATCGTAAAGTAATAAATAATCTTTGATCAAAATTCTAAACAGCATTAGAATAGCACCGAACTTTCACAAATTATGCATTATGGCTCCCAAGACTTGGGGGGGGGTGTCTTTAATGCTTTGTGACGTAATGCTTGATTCTTTAAGATTAAAATTTACGAAAATTAGATACTGTTGAATACAGCCTGTCCGGTATTCATATCCCTTGTTGATACACAGCCGAGACATTGTAATCTTTGTTGCTGTTTGATATTATGGTCTGCTGGTAGTGCACAATTTCAAAGTATACTCATAATTATTAATGCTGAAATGGCAATTTTAGAATTTAAGAATTATGGAAAAGGATTCCTCTTGGAATTAATGTTTAAATTTCCATTTGGCTGTGAATTTCAGTTCTTGGTAACAGTAGAATGTGTCAAGTGTATTGTTTGCTTTCTATTATATGTGTCACGACGTGGTGGAATCAGGGGCTCGTCAATTTTGCACCATACCGGGTTCTTGGTATCATCTTAAAGCCTGTCCTTTTGCCTTGCGTTTGATAAAAAAAATATCCATTTATCTAGGATACAAGTCAAGATATTGGCGATTGAAGGAGGTGAGTGTCGCCTGGTTTGAGAGGTAAAAATTAGTGAGAAAATGGACGCCAAAGTTATTTCCTTAGCTTGAGAATTATAGGAAACTGAAAATTTACATCTTTTGTGCCTTTAATCAATGTTTTTCAGTAAAATCCATACAAAAATGTGTTCTTTAATGGGCATGAAAGGCGTTGAGCCCCCCAAAAAAATTTGATAAAAATTCCCAAACCTGTGGAAAAATGCCAGTTTCTTGACTTTCATTATAAATTTTGGCGAGCGCCTGATTTCACCGCACTGCCTCACATTTTTTTTTTTTTTTTTTTTTTTTTTGAGGACAGGCGGTTTTCTGAAGACAGCTTGATGCACCGTACGTTTTCTAAACCATTTCTTTTTTTCAGCATTGGAGGAACGTAATTTTTGGGTTCTGTTGACACTTTTCATTTCTTATTGTCTCTTCTGGTTTCATAAGGTTCTTTTCTTGGAATAGTGTCCTTGACTTTTTTTTGCAGTGAATTTGCAACATTTTCTGTGGAACGAGTTTATGTGACATTCTGATCTTCTGATAGTTAGGGGGATTTTTTCCCCTGAAATTGGGGATCTAAAGTCCTCATTTTCACCCTAACATATCTTTACTTATATTTTTTTTTCTTCATACTGAGGCAATCGTTTTGTGGGAACACTTCACTGATGCCCCAGATAAACAGGGTATTTGAATGGACTGCTGTACCGATATTCAACTGGCGTCTGTGGTGTAATGATCAGGCACTTCGTCTTCATATCTACACAGAAGACGTGTTCGATTCCTAAACAGGGATAAATTTTTTCAAGTATCTCTGTTGACCCGCATGGACGTTGTATCCATCTCAGCCAGGGTTGGCCTGGTAGGCAGGGTTGAAGCAGCCTGCCTCCTAAATTATTTAAAGTATGTCAGTGGTAAAGTAAAACATGTATATAACAATTGGAACTGATTCTCCCCAAGATGCTTTTATTGTTATAGCTGCACAAATTTTCCCATTAGAATTGTATTTATCATTATCAGATATTTTATGCCTGTGTAGAGATTTCAGAGGAATTACTATTAAATATTTCTTTAGATCTCATTAAATGTTAGTACCGGGGAACTTATAGACATCAGGACAGTTGATGTTATTGGGAGGATTGAAAAAATATATACTCTTGAAAAATCTTATCCCTTTTCACCCCAAGTAAATTTACCATAAATAATTGTTTACCAGTGTCTGAGTTAACTTTGGAACTTTCAAGTTAAAATTTGCGATCAAGGGCATATTAGTGAAAAGTGGCTCTAAAGGATTCCTGTGAAATTCCTTGCTTCCATCCCTGTCACTATCGTCTAAATAAAAGTCTCCTTCTTTGACTTTCATTGATGTCATTAGATTAAGCACTACTTTCAATAGCTTCTTCACCATCCTTAATCATAATAAGCTCATTGAACACCATTCAGGTGTGTAGGATTGCTTTGCCATCATTAGAACATTCAAATGAGTACTGAAATGGTATGACTTGGGTAATAGATTATGGTATGGTGCTCTCCACCCATCGTTTTTGCAAGGGAAGCCAGTCTGATAAAACGGATGAAATTTCTCCAGCTGAAACTGGATTTTGACAATTTTTATTCAGTATTCATTCCTACACATGTAAGTTGAAATTTAGAATTGCATGATTTTCCTGTTTGTTTTTGTGCATACCTAATACATAAAAATTTCCAGGCTTTTTGTCAGCAACCGCTTTAATCCTTGATATATTTAATGAAATGTTTATTTTTTTATGAAGTATCACTTCGAACGGAGAATTCACGTTTGTGGGCAGTCGGGAACGAATTGTGAGCAGCACAAAATGTATAAAGGATATGACTATGGTGCTTGCAACAGGTTTTTACTGAGGAGGTCTGATAATGCAGAAAGAGAAAAGAATTGAAAAAAATATATTCATATCCTGTCAAATCTGTCTGTTAGAATTACAAGCGGACATGATTTTAAAATTCCGCCTTGTGTTCAAGGTCAAGGTGTGTAGGTGTGAGAGGAAGGGTTTTGTATGGAGTGTTGATGATATATACGGCTTAGTAACTTTCCTAAAGTTGATTCTTTGTGTCAACATGGAATGGTTTTGTTGGAAATTTTTACTTTGCCTTGTGCAAACTGAATATCGAAATGAATGAAAACGAGATTTGTAAGGATATTTATATTTTTTGTTGATGAAAGAATGGCCAGCATTTCCCTATCATGTGAATGATGATACGCGAGATTAAGGGAAACAGTACAATAGATGGGCAGAAGTTCCTGGAGAGAACCAGTCATAAAGAGGAAGTTTTGTAAGGTAAACCTAAGAAATTTTTATTACAGATCCGTGCGCAAATTTTAAGTCAATATTCATGATTGCTTGATGGAACATTGATTGCCTCTGGAAATACTGCATTTCTCGTCACTGATATTGGGTCTGTGGAGTTGATGCACAAAGTTTTTATGTACTGTGTGTTTTATGTTGTTTTTTTTTCTAATGGGGAATTTCATTTTAGATTTCTTTAAGCATTGACATGACAAAAAGCCTTCTGGTCCTTGTCGTGGGGATGGTAAGCTGATGTTCCTGCATGGTCGTGTTCCTTATCTTAGCTATGTCTAAGCTTCTGATGCTGGACATGTTGTGTTCAGTAAATTTTTTATTGTAATATAGACCGTCATGAACTACGCTAACATTTTGCGTTGTTACTGGAAAGAGAAAATATGCGGAGTATATATTGTGTTGAATAAAGGTATTTCTGAAACAACAGCAATGCTTTGCTCAGTGTACTCATGTTTTTTGGGGGGGGGGTTGTTGTTGTACTCTTGTACTCTATTAATATGTGATCTCTTGACTTCAACGTCCCAGTCTCCAGGTTTATATTCTCATCAAAGGTTGAATAGGGAAGTGTTCTCAACAACTGTTTTGGTAAGGGGCTGTTCAAATATAATCTTACACCTTTTTTTGGACTTTTTGACA